CGTGCGTCTGGTGGATATGATTGACGACGACGACGAGGATGATATGGTAGTCGACGTCGATATTGAGGATACTCCAGACATGCTCAAACTTGATCCAGACATCAATCTCGATGCATCATCTGAAGAAGGTTCTTCCCGCATCAGCCTCGGAAGTAAATGCTGCAGCAGTCTTCGCAGCACTGGTTAAGTCACCAGCAGCATCGAGGCTTTCCAACAATGTCGAGGGACCTGGACGAGATCTATTGGGACAATATCTAAGCTGTTCTTGATTTTTTCACCAGTCTTTTGTTATTAACTCGTTAGAAAATCGGGGTTTCACATTATTTCACAAAATGTTTATTAACTGTGAATAACGCGGTGAATAAATACCCTCTCGGGACCCGATGTTAAATAATATGTTATTAACAAGACCGGGAATTATTAGCCCTACCTTAACTTTCTTTCCGTGAACACCATACGTGTCAGTGAAAGTAGATTTGGTATACATGGATAAATACCACAAAATACATCGCGACAGATTGTCCTATATAGCACTCAGGCCCAGGTATCCTGTTCACCCCACGTTCTCGACGACGGTATCATGGAGTGTCCCGGAAGCCCATCAAATACTGCATACTCTGGAATGCGGCCTATGTACAAGATAAAGTGATCAGCTTCTGGAACTATCTGCTCTTCCGGAATATTACGTACCACGGGAGAGAATTGCGGGACCCTGCGAAGTAGCAGCGATCAGTTGAGAGTACCGTCGCCATATCAAAGAGCTTACATATGTCCACTGAGCGCTATTTCTATGAAGGTCAGTCCTCGTTCAGTGTGGGATGTACCCAGAGCCCCGACACCATCAACAATGAAGCTGTCATCTTCGATGGGAGTTTGGAAACCTTGTAATCCGTTCCCTGATGGACCATCAAGCATTCAGTCGGTCCATCTGGCTATCATCGAACACGAACAGTGAGATTCACGTACATGTCATACTGAAAAGTAGATATTGTATACACTCAGTCAGCGCTACCGTCGCGAAAGTTTTATGCCTACTTTTGGATCACAATTCTCGCCCTGTAACCGTTAATGAGAGAGCGAGGTAAATCAGTGATGCTAAAATACATACCCTTCAGCAATCAGAATAAAGTCAGCAAGGCCATGCGCAATAACAGTGCGATTACTCTTCTCAATGACATTCGGCAAGACGTTAAACGAGGAGGGAAGGCTAGAATCCCCGTGAGGGAACACATTAATATTAGAGCATTCTGTCCATTCCACGTCAACAGGAGCATGAATGGCTTTCTTAACATCTTGTCGATCAAAGTATAGTGGAGACAACTGAATGTCTTCGAAAGATCCTCTAGAATCATATCAGTGATAGGTTGCCCCTTGGAACTCTGACACTTACGGGAACCCGAGGACATCCCAGAGAACTGGAAAGGTGTCGAAGATACGATAGATGTTGAATGCGGGGTTAGTAGCAAAAGCCGCATTGAATATGGTATCCCATAAATCGCATCCCCTGTCGGCTTCTGTTGACCGTCCGGGAAGCGGAAGGAGTCCTTTAGGAGGATATGTTGCAAAGGTCTCTGTATATCCAGTGTAGTTGCAGGCTGCAGCTTTGTTGTCAAGTTCAGACAAGAACTCTTTCCTAATCGTCATGTTCAACAAAATTAGGTGCCAGGGTAGCGTAATACTAACGTGAAAGCGAAGACCCCTTCATACTTGTGGACGAAGTCGACTGCGGGAATCTGTTCTTGGACGACATCCCATCCAAGAACAGCTATACCAGTCATCGGCGCGTGGAACAGAAATAATTATGATCAAGAGGCGTACGGTCAGCAATCCATATGCCCTTCAGCTCCAAGTCCAGGTCATTAGGATGTTCGTAGATGTAATTGGCAATGTCTGGCAAATAAATATTGGATGAACTGAGGGTTGCAGGTTATACTCACAAGGAACATACATTCCTGCATACTGAAATCATTCCTCAGCAATTGCAGAACGAACACAAAAAAGGAATACCACCTACACTTTCACCCGTGACATACAGTTTCTTCCCCTTCAGTTCCGAGAAAACCTCCAAGAATTGTTGGAAGAAACCAACAAGTTGTTCTGCCAGATCATCCTCATTCTATTGGGCGACAATTATTGGCCTATACTGCGACAGAAATCTTGGAACTTACCCTTATCGTCGGGGTTCCTTGAGAGAAGCCGGTCCCAACTGGTTGCTCAACCCATAGGACACTCGAGAGATTGGTCCAGCTCATATCATTGATGATGGGCTTTGCCGTTCCGACACCCCATTGGAATGGCTATGGAACGGTGAGCAACAAAGATAACAAAAAGCCTTGAAGATATGACCTACCCCATTCTCTTGCAAAAAGCCTTCCAGGGAAGAACATCCAGGGCCTCCGTTCGTCCTGAAAAGTAAGTTATGACTAGTGCAAATATCAGTCAACATTATCCTTACCAGAAAATGAGATCATCCATGCTGCCTTGCGGCCCGGGAGGGAAGAACCAGAAGAACAGCTGAACACAGGACACGTGTTGGTTACCATAAATTATTACCTTGCACCATGTGGACGGACCTTTCGCGACTCATTAGGATCGGAAGAGATAGGCATCAGCCCCGACCAGCTGGGTCCTACGTCAAAGTCGACCTCAGGAATGTTGGCTCCATCGACCCAAAACTCTATCGATGCTGCCAGTAAACCAAATGCCGAAATCAGATAGACAATGATAACGCACCGGATACCTTGGGATTAGAGAACGTGATGTTCCGTACTCCTGCACGCCGTTCAAGGTCGATGCCGGTGGTGGGTTGCGGTATGGAGCGCCATCGCTTGGCCGCCTCGAGTTGTCGAGCCTGAATTTCGCTCTTGCGGATTTGGCGCGCACCGTGTGCGAGGGTGGCTAGGCCGAGGAAAATTGTCACCAAGCGTAGGAACATGGCTATAGGTGAGGGGTTGCATTTGCGTAGAGGACATCGCATATATATCCTCACCCGGTTAACCGGGGCATAGCGCGAGAAGCATTGCCGACTCCTATCGTGTCCTATCGTGGGTCGCTCATCGTGCAGATACTGCGTCGACACTATATTTAGGTCCCCTGGTGTGAGGACTCGTCCCTGAAGCACATGCAGTGAAGGGCTGTATAATTATTACTGATAAGCTACCCTGCATGCTATAAATCCAAGGAAGTCTAAGTCATAGTAATGTGACGCATCAACGACTAGCACCCACTCAAGTGGTGCTCAGCACATAATGCCTGACAAAGTAGTCATGAAAACGATCGTCGGGGGTCAGTTCAAGATGGAAGGTGGTAAGCAAGTGGTAGCCTTGTCGAAGGAATACGATAGTCTTCGGATCTGAGTCGTCCAGACCTGAAAGAGCCAAAGGTAAAAAGTTCTGCAGGTAATAGAGCGAGGACTTGTATTGGCGTATCTTCAGGAGAACATGAAAGCTGGAGAACAACCTGTACAAAACAGATTAATACGATGTCGAGAAACAATAGAGAAGGGCTTGAGAAGGCCCGAATAATTCTGTAGCCAGTTTCGGAGCAGACGACCACGCAATATAAAGGGCCGCGGACCATGGTTCTGGCGATGAATACCTTTGTGGGAGGCATCCCAACGATATTCTAGTCCTGCAGAACTTGCAAAGACAGACAACAACTGCCTCGAAAATCACATCCTCTTCTGACTTGGATGTCATGACACCACGTACCGGAGCTCGTATAAAATCGCCTATGAACGGCGTTTCTGAATCCTTCATTCCCTCAACACTCAATGGCACTTCTAAGGACTCCACCTATGATATTCGGCGTGAACACCGATAATCAGTCGAGAGCAGACAAATCCTCGTACTTGCGACCCCCAGCCATTTCGAGCAATCGATATCGATATTCCTTGCAGTAGCTTTTGTCCCCTCCCATTTTCGCACCGACGACAGATTGTGAGAGGAGAATGGCACCAGCACAGGTCCCCCAGACAGGTTTAATTTTCACGAATTCCCTCAGCAGATCTAGAAGACCCGACGGGCGTGCCAGAAGCGCAACGGTGGTCGATCATAACGACCGCTTTCAGTAATGAAGTAGATTGTATATGCAAAAGAATAATGAGACCATCGCAGACGGCCAATTCTTCGGGGGTCCGGGCCAGCACGACCATTGCGCGAAAGGAAGGAGATAAGCGGTGTACTGCCGCATAATGCTCCATAAAGGGCTCCCTGCAAAAATGTAGTAAATATCTCAACATTATTGAGTTGTTGTGGCTAAATTATTGGCCTCCCTCACCAAGAATGCCAATCGTTACTTGGATAGCAATGGTGATGAGTCAGAGAGCGGGTGGACGGCACTCCAGGATTTGTCTTCTGCCATTTTGTCGATGTCGCGATCGGACCCCACTGATACTAGATCTCGGTTCCTTGGGATGTTACCTGTATTCTGATGATACCATTGATCAGACCATTGATCAGGAATGAGCACATATTTGTCAACGTCGCATCTATCAAGAGCGAGATCTCACAAAAGGTGTTCTTGGAACAATCTGCAGAGTTTCCTTCATACAAAGACGATAGCGCACAATCGAATATTCATAGCAAACTTTGAGAACACGTATTGCATGGGCCATCGCAACAGACGATTTGGCGGCTTTCACGCACATTATGAAACTATACAGACGAGCCAATTGACGTCTATGGCAGTATCCTAACCGAAATCATTCAGTGTGATCGTCCAGAAATTCTCGATATGTGCATCCGTCGAGATGCTTTGTTTCAGCTCATAGTGACGACGAAGGCGTAAACGACAAGAGTCGCATCTACCTCGGCCCATGATACGTAACCTGGTGAGGGATTGTCCGGAACTGCCGCCGAGGGTTACGTCCCGACATGTCGGCATATCGGATCTGAGACCGGCAAGAAATTTTTTAAGACTTACTCTAGATGGACGTCGGTCGCGGTGGAACGCAAAATCTGATTTCTATTCGTAACGGAAACCAATAGGTTATTCATGATGGCAACGTGGCCGAGCGGTCTAAGGCGCTGGAATTAGGAGGTTTCCCCAAAAGGGAACTTACGGAACAATCCAGTCCTCCGGGGCGTGAGTTCGAACCTCACCGTTGTCACGTGATTCCTCCCCCTTTTTTTTCCGGGGGGGGGGGAGTCGGCCGACTCGATGTGCCGGGATACAAGGCCGCAACCCCCCTTACGTACACTAATGAATAGATAATAGAATCAATGTTATGAAGTAAAAGATAGCGGAGGAGTTGCTTTTTTTTTGGTATGAGCATTTCATTAACTGCCCCAAGTAAGCTATCTACTACTAAGACGCGGTGTGGGTACAGGTCCTCAAGTTCCCTCCTTTCCTCGTGTTCAAGTCCCTCCGCTCATTAATCTGGTTTATGGGCGTATCGTATGGGGTAGAGTAATGCACATTTGTAGTATTTCTTTGCCCTGTGATGGGATAATTAAGTTGATTCTGTAATTGGCTAAAGCCGTAGAGTGTTTTGCGAGCATGTCAGGTGAGTCATACTGGCTGCGCTCGCGACAATTGATAATCTAACATCGAGTGCAATTAAAACTACTGAGTATCTCGAAGCCAAGGAAGCACCTTCTCCTGTGCCTCTTCGTGCGCTTTTTGAGCAGAGTCCTGCTGACGTACAGGATTGTGGGCCATACCCATCAGAAGAAGCATATCAAATGTATCCATTTCACGCTCCCGCCTCGCTCTGATATTATATTCAACCATCGCTTTGCGCTTAGCCTCATCGCGGCTCTGCTCCGCTCCTGGATAGAATGAACTTGACCAATACGATCTCACATGCGTCAAAAAATCTTGCGCAGGCCATGTCGTGATCAGCACCGAAGCGTACACTGCATCAAACAGACAACGTGGTGGCCAAGTATTCCACTCACCAGTAGGAGGTACGCGGAGGGCTCTACCAGCTGGAATATTATCATACGGAGTCCCCAGAGTATTGGGTTCCACAAAAAAAATGTACGGTTCAGCGAGCGGCATCCGGCGTAGTCCCAGTGACCACATCTGTTGTTTTCATTATAAAATTTGGGGTCTGTGTTGAGGTGAGACATAGGTGACAACCTTAGTGGAAAGTAATCCATACCTGAAGAATGGCAGCGCGTTGACCAAGGTCCCTATGGAACATTGCATTGATAAGCAGCCCGTTTCGTGGGTCATCAATGTCATCAATGATATCGTTATCTCCTCCCTCGCTTCGTCCATTTGTTAACATTCTGATGAACTAGTAGCAATATCAGCACCAAGAAATAGCATCTATTGGAGATATACCTGACCGCCTTGGCTTTGCACAATTAAATGAGCAGCACGGCAATACCTAGAGACTATAGCAGTGGCGACACAAGATTTATCACGCTCGAAAATCGAAGCTTGAAAAGGGTATACATCTGAATGGCTTGTATAGCTTGTTTTACTAGCATTTTCAAGGTCTGGGTCGATAGGAAATATTGGCCCGTGGACATGGTAATAGAGGTCACAAGGATGGAAAGGCGCATCGTAATCGAAATCCGTATTGGAATTTGTTCCAAAAGACAGGCTGCCCTCTACGCCCATGATACAGTAGCCGGCATAACACAACCATCTATATGGCTTTAACGAAAAGTCGGCCAGCCTGTGTTGAAGACGCGCTCAGCCGCATATGGCAATCCGGCAATCGGAGCAACGTTGAAGCGCGCGAACCTTCGCGCACCTTCTCCTTGACTCGATCGCCTGTCTGCTCACTCAGCAATGAGTCAGACATGGACACTAGTAGATGATAGTATATTCTAGAAGTACCCACCTTGTAGTATATATACCGGGCAGACCAGCCTACTAATAACAATAGATTCATATTCTTACTCTCACCCGCATCTCTCACACGGTCAAGTCTCGTAGTTTACCACTGCACTCATAACCTCCGTTATACACTCTTTTACAACAGCCTGTGAATGGGGATTTCGAGACAAGGAAGCCAAGCTGCAGAAGCTGGTGTGTCATCCCGACCGTGAAAAGGTTGGACGTGAAGTCGTACGAATCCCTGCTCTGAAGTCGCCATGGAAGTACGTCGTGGAAATGAAACCGTTGAGCTTACATAAATCTGCTAGGGTCCAAAGACCTTTGTCTTACTGAAGGCTCCACAATACGGTAATATACATGATGACAACATGTCTCTCGTTTTTAGGGTTGTTGACTTATTTGGCTATCGTAGGCATATTTCCTTGTTCCATTTTGATTTCCACGCAAAATGAACGAGACTAAGCCAGGCGTCAAACCCTGCACCAACCAAGCTGACGAAAACCTACTAATCGACATGCGGGTCTACTTTGAGAAACCCCAGACGACGAAAGGCTTGTTCAACGACCCCGAATTGAACGGGAGTAAGAGCCTTCATATTGCGCAGATGCTGAGTATCGCACGAAGTTGGGTTACCTGCTGGATGCGAGTTCCAGGATACAGTCACGCTGCAGTATACGACTGATTTGGTGTCGTGGGGCGTGATTGGGGCGAGAACCGCAGAATCACAGGTACATAGGAACCGGGGCTGATATCAGCGCTGTATGTGCTTACGGGTTTGAAAAATTCCATAGATGGGAGTGTGAGTCTCGAGATTGATATTGATGCATGCCGAGCTGCTCGGAAGTAACAATGTCCATGGGGAATGTCGTAGTACGTAATCGAGAACAGGCTATCGAATGGGTGACAAGACATCTCGCATCAAGACGGAATCTCTGCAGCAGATGAACATTGACTGCAGGGGTTATAAAGCGGCCAGTCCTGATGCTACAATGAATAATCTTCAGTAGAAGAATCTTTTGATTTGTTAGCGGGGTGCCCCTCAAGATGTCTGCCAAACGGTACTCACCTGCTGCCTCCCTAAGGATTGGTGGAAAGACCCTGATATTTTTTACATGCAAACGGCACACGTAAAATGCATGCGCCGGCTTCTATGCTCCTCGTTTTAACATGGTATCCATAGACAAGGAGGTTCCAGTCAGTTCAACATGTAGTGGAACTAATAGAATCCGATTCACCCACCGAGCCTCGATCTACAAGAAAACGAATTCAGGAACCTGGATGTAGAATTGGCTAGCCAATGGGCTGACAAAGGCAGAAAGGGCCTTACCTAGACTCGAACCAATCTTTGAAACTCGATGGTAGTCAACCGAAGTCTTAAGTCAACTTGAACGCATTTCCCGCACCCTTTGCAACTACAACCAAGACCCCTCTCTTATCTGCCATATATATAATGGCATTGAAATACTAATATGATGGCAAAAAGGTATTTTTCTGGAATATCTCGAGCAGGGCTGAAGAAATAAGCAAAACATTCAAAGTTTTAATAAATCTGGAAAGCTGCGAAATACATCCATGTTTCATCACAAGGATACATAGTAACTGTGTCCATAGAGAACATCCCAGCACGAAATTGAGAACAGTTCATCGTATGAGTGACAAGACACATACATCATATCAGGTGGGAACATCTACACCTGAGGTTATAGTTGCAAGAGGCCCGAAGCGACTCAGTCCTACGGGGGCTAGACATTGGTAGGCTAAGGTGTTTGAGATATCACAATATACAACGGCGGACGTTGTACTGTGGCCATAATTGTACTAGGCGTCAAGAACAAATCACGATCCATCAGGGGATCGTCAATGTCATGTTTACATCAAATAAGCAAACGTCGAATGGCAAAGATATCTACTCACACATCTTGGAGATGCTCAGAGACGCGTTCATACGTCTGTGGATCAACATGACCGGAACAATGCTGACAGTGAAACGATACCGAGCCCCTTCTTCGCCTCATCCTCGGACGTAAGAAGGCGTAAGTCTGGGCGTTGACCGTAACTCAGAGAGGGGTCTCTTTGAACCTAACATAGTGGTCAGCTGTGGATAAATCATAGGGTACCCATATATGGACTCACGCATTCCCTTCAGGAGAGGATGCGACGCCCGCTGCACCTGCCTATTCCGGCGGTGAGATCATATCTGACAACTGGATCACTCATAGAAAGAAACTTGAGATTCAGACCATCTATCTCCTCAGCGGTCGTCGTAACAGGATTACGAGAAGCGAGCCTTACAAGAGAAGCAGCCACGGTAGATCGCGTCGTATCAAAGGAGAGCTCTGTGTTCCCCATGCTGTGATACAGATCATCGACGTTTGCGGCTTGGCTTCCGACTGATCCGTACATTCTACGTCGATGCCGCCAAACATCCGCATCCGCGATGATAGCACGACATTTGATAATTAGCAAGAAAATACCGTCGTTGCCAACTTCAAAGGATCGACCTCCCCAACTTCCGGAGACGAGACGAAGGCTCGCAGCTCAGATTCTCTTCGTCGCTGCTAGTCGGTAACCAGATTTGGGAGCTTGTTCACGGCATCGGCAAAACTGGGACGTTCTCAGTCGGCAGCTCCAAAACGTCCTTAAATACAGGAAACGTGCAAACGTCTATGGGTGAAGGTATTTCTCGCCATACTACGGGCAAGGATTACTGCTTGTATATCTTGAGAATACCCTCGACGATCGAAGCACGCCTGCATAGCGCCATACTACAGGCCGCTTTGGCTTCCCGAACACGATAGACTTTGATCACCGCCTCGAGACCCAGACGAATCCTGGTCCAGCTTTGAAAATGTTGAGCATCGTGTGGTGTAGATGAGAAGACCTGTATATTCTGTGACGTGAGTTCAGCGTCGCACCTAACCGATGATTCACATCCTACAGCCTCGACGTCTTGCTCGGTATAACCCAAGTCAAGCAGGAGAATATTTATCCTAAATGGCTTTTAGACAAGTAATAGTCGTTAAATCACAGCAGACTTACATAGAACATCTCTCATCTTTCCGAAGTCCTGATTCACGAGCGTTCTTCCGAGCGTTATTGACAGTCCATTCTTCATATTGCCTCGCGCCCTAAAATGAATACATCAGACGAATGAGACACTGCACGAAGTCTGCACTAACTTTAGTCATGTCTTCACCAACTTTTTCCGCTCCATTCGAAATTAGGACAGACACTTGGAAGATCCAGGGTCTACTTCCACCTCATTTATCTTGGCTTGGATGTCCGTGATATCAGAGATCCAATAGTATCCGTTGC